ATATCCCCCCAAAGGGGTACGATCGAAGACGACGAGTGTGGGTACCGAGGGTTTGGGATATACGGATCGATCGGCACGTGAGCAGATAGGAGCAAACTGTCTTAAAATGATTGTTGTTGCTGTTGTTGATGAATTCATATTGATATGAACAGATCATTGTTGACCACCCCCTCCGGTAACCATTGCCAAACTTTAGATTTAAATGCTTCTCCCGTGGCTTGCACTCTGTTTTTTGTTGAACAAGGGGCAACGAGGTGTCACAAACATGTGCACGTGGCAGGTAAAGAAGATATCCCCCCAAAGGGGTACGATCGAAGACGACGAGTGTGGGTACCGAGGGTTTGGGATATACGGATCGATCGGCACGTGAGCAGATAGGAGCAAACTGTCTTAAAATGATTGTTGTTGCTGTTGTTGATGAATTCATATTGATATGAACAGATCATTGTTGACCACCCCCTCCGGTAACCATTGCCAAACTTTAGATTTAAATGCTTCTCCCGTGGCTTGCACTCTGTTTTTTGTTGAACAAGGGGCAACGAGGTGTCACAAACATGTGCCTTTGGTCCCCAGATTACAACGACAGCGGCTCCCGCCAGATACTACATCAACGTGTATTCCAGAATCGCGCTCTCGCGCGGTACCTCATAACAAGTTATGCAAGAATTGCGCTCTCGCGTGGAACCAGCTAATATCTTTTGACACGCGAACTCGGCACTAAGGAATCACGCTCTCGCCGCGTTTTTTCTCGAAGGTTACCTGGGCATCGCGCTGCCGCTCGAACTCTCCACGCGATTCATCCAGTACCCACGCTTCCTCAACGCGCCTTCTGGACCTGGCCGCTTGGGCCCGCCTCCCCGACCCGGCCGTTAATGGTCTACCCGCACGATGGGCCCGTCTGGTTCTGCCACGTGTTTTCTGCTCCTACCCCCTCCTGCGAATCTCGCGCTCGATCCTTCTCCTTCCCACGTCCTCTTTTCCCGTGTTTCAGGGGCTGCACCAATTTCCATGCGGCAGGTAGGGAAGATAACTATACCCCCAAGAGGGGTACGATCGAAGACGGAGAAGGCGGGTACCGAAGGTTTCGGGAATACGTGTTGAAAGGCATGCAGTTAAAAATGTTTGTTGTTGCTGTTGTTGTGGTTGTTGTTGCTGCTGCTGTTGTTCAGAATGTTGTTGTTTTGGCTGGTGATATTGTTATTGTTGGTGGTGTTTCCGTTTTCTTGTATGTGTCTTTTGATGTTTGTTTTCGTCGTCCCCCCCGCGACCCGGCCAAGGACCCACCAACGACCCGGCCCGCGACCCACCCGCGACCCTCCCGCGACCAACCCGCGACCCACCCCGCGACCCGCCCGCGACCCACCCACGACCCACCCCGGGACCCGCCCGCGACCCACACGCGACCCATCGGCGACCCAACCGCGACACACCCGCGATCCACCAGCGACCCGGCCCGCGACCCACCGCGACCGACCCGCGACCGACCCGCGACCCACACGCGACCCACCCCGCGACCCACCCACATTGCTTTAACCAGAACATCGGTGCCTGCGGCAGGTTCTTTGAAAAAATTGTAAAACTTCGGCGCCTGAGGTGGGTTCTTCATAGCCTCGCAGACTGCCGACGTCCCCGCCGCCCCCTCACTCTTATCCGCAACTACGCGGGGCCAGGTTTATGATATGCTCTGCTCTGTGGCACCACGCTATGGCATGAGACGTATGTTCTGCTAGGCTAGGACATGGCTCGGCTAGGCTAGGACATGTGAAGAAAGAGGGTGATGCTCAATTCGTTATAGCGTACTACGCGAAGCTAGTGTACTACTCGAAGCTAAGCTGAGGCCAACGTGACTGACAACTGGGCGTTCCTCCTCCTCCATTGCCGTGGGCACTCTTCCTGGTGTGCTGGTTCACTTTGTTCTCCACGTTTCCAGCACCCTGCAGCTCTGGATCCGGTCCCTGTGTGTGGCCGTGATGCCGTCCCGCGTCCATTGTCAAGTCGCTTCAACCCCGGTGGGCCGCTCCGGCGCGCTGAATGAATGCGTTCAACCGTGAGTGCCTTCCTCATCCCTCCTGCCCTTTGCGACCGCTTGCCCTCCCGCGCGCCCCGTCTTGCAACCGAACAATTCGTGAGTCGCGCGCCCCAACAACGCGACCGCCCGTGCGGATTGCCTCTGCAGCGGCCCGGGCGACACGCTATGCCCTGCAAGCGGGTAGCGTATTGCTCTGCTCCGTCGGGCGGGAGGCTGGGAACAGCTCGAGACGTTGACGCTTGGGAATGGGGACGTGGATGGCGTGTCGCGCGGAATCGGAGGGTGGGCCAGAACTGGCGGAGCGATGCGCTAAGCCAGGGTGCCGGGGCGGGTGTGTGACCGCAGGGGACTATATCAGGGCCCGGTGGCCGAAGCGTGCGGGGGCGGCTCTGCCACCAGCTGTCGGGGGCGCGGGGTGGGTGCTGTCGATTGACAGACGCGTGAGGTGGGACACCTGAGACCTGCATCATCGGGGGATATCGGGGCATGGCGGCCGCGGCATGTGGCGCCAGCGAACGGGTCAAGAGATTGTTCCTCTTCGGCCAGCCCTGTCCGGGGATTGGGGACCATCGGGGCCTCGAGGCCACGGCCTGAGGGGCGAAGTGGGGATCATCCGGGACTGTCGTGGCTCCGCGGCCGCGGCATGCGCGACTGGCTCGGCGGTTTGTCGAGGACGCTGGGAGGCACACGAGGGATCATCGAGGACTATATCAGGGCCCTGCGGCCGAGGGCATTCGGGGCGGGCAAACGTGCAATTGTCCATTCTGTTTTGCTGGGGATACGTTGCGAACCACACTTATCAGGTGGAGGAAGAAAGGTCCAACCGTCCAACCACTCCTGCGTTCCTCTCCCCCTCCTTCTCCCTCCAGCCACGCCCCCTGTCACGAGGGCGTCCTGCAGCACCTTGTCCATGTAGATCCACAGCTGCCGCGTCACTCGTGCCTGCGCGATCCAACGGTCCAGAAGCCGAAGCAGTTTGCGCGCGTTGGCGCTGCCAGCGGCCAGGTCAGCTATGAGCTTGAACTCCAGCGTTACCATCTCGATGAGCTGAAGGAGGTCCTTGTCTCTGTCCTCCTCATCCTCCCCCTCCTCCTTCTCCTCCTCATCCTCCTTCGTTCCGTCTCCTGCTTTGGCTCCTCCACACCACATCCTTCCCTCGATGTCCAACTGGCCCATCGTGCTCCTCCTGCTCCACATCGCTCCTCCTCCTCCCTCTCCTCCTCCTCCTCCTCCTCCTCCTCCTCCTCCTCCTGGCATCCCTCATTCGTTCAACGTTCAGCCCTACCCAAGGTTTTTAACGATTGGGACCCGTTCCTGAACCCAACCGTGGGTCGAGGGCGATCCTCCTCCTGCTCCTCCTCCTCCTCTCTCCTCCTTTCGATTGGCTGCAGGGGGTCCTCGTCCTTGTGCGAGGCGTCCGAAGCCCACCGTATCAGGCTGCGGAGCTTCCGCTGGTTCACCTCCAGGTCCTGCGCCTGCGTCCGCCGCTTGCGCCTATCGAAACATGTGCCGCAGAGGCCGCCGACGAGCGCCCCGAACAGGCCGCCACCGAGGATGCCGATCGGCCCGAAGGGTATGGACCTGAGCCCTGGCCCGATCCCATCGGATCCACGGCCCGTCCCTGGCCCGACGTGCCCGAGATGGGGACGGCGACGGCGGGGACGACTGCCTGGCACTCGGGACCGTAGGAGAGCCCTCGCCCATCCCTGGCCCGAGGCGCGCAGGATGCGGACACCGAGGGTGGGGACGACTGCTGCCTGACCCTCGGGGATGTGCAATGTGGACGGGGCGCCCATCCTCGATAGGGAGGGCGTCCAAATAACCCTGCCGGGGGGGGGGGGCACCCCCGAGTTCCTTTCCTTTTCTGCGCGGCAAGTTTTTCGGAGTGGTGGGAATTCGGCGGCACAGTGAAAACGTATAGTAAGAACGCGTGGCAAGGACGCAAGACCCTTGGAGGCCGAAGTTGAAGCATTCTGGGCGGCAGGCGGCCAAACCCCCAGGAAATCTGAGAAACTGGCCTGCGAAAATTGCTAGGGACGGGCCGCAGAGGCTGAGGCAGGCAAGGACCCAAGGGTACCCTTGAAAAAGTCGTTCGTCCTTAGTATGCGCGTTGACTGTAAAAGGGGCGAGAACTCGCCCGCGAGCAGCAGATCCTGCCAAAGAGTGGCTGCAGCCACTGCGGGATAGCGGACAGCGCTCACAGAGAAGTTGTCGGCGAGCTCTGTTCAGAACTGGCGGGGCCTGTTTTCGGACATTGTCACCGTCAGCTTCGTACACGCAGTCGTGAAAAAGCTGGCAGAAACCAGAGGAAGGAAGGCGGTGAGGAACATCGGACCTCGGCCCGCCCAACAAATAGGCTGTCAATCTGAATGGCGCAGAAAATCAGACGGAAGAGACCGCTGCCCAGACAGGCGTCTGCTCAATGAGAACCCTGTGCTGAACGGCAAGAGTGTGAGGAAGAGAAGGAGAAGGAGGAGGACGACGACGACGACGAGAACACGAGCACAAAGGAGACGACAGGAACACATAGGCGCCCAATGTGGAAAACCACTGACTTCTAAAACACGAGGGTGCAGGAATACACACATTTGAATATATCTCCACACACGTAGACATTCACTATAGGCTTTCTGTCGATATAACGCTTTCGCAAACATGTGCGCGCGGATATTCTCTGACATACGGGGGATCACAACAACATGCCACATGTACATGCAACAATCGGTCTGCATGCATTATGTATGAGGGAAACGGGTCCTGATGGAAGCGGGTCCTGGAACCCCCCAGACCACTTTGATGGCCCTCTGGCCTCAAGAGGCCACACGAGGCCTAAGACCCCCTCGATGATTCCCTCGATGATTCCCGATCCTGGACCAGACCGTCCAGTCCGTTCCAAATTACCCGGTCGACCGAAGGCGCCCGATCGACAGCCCCTGGCCCCGAGCCAGATTGACGGACGAATCCGCCCGATCAGCGGCCAAACCGAGCCCGTTAGGGGCCCGATCGAGGATTTCGAAATAAATGCTCAAACAAGGAACGTTGGCGGCAGAATGCCCCAAAGCGCTTTTTGGGACACTGAGGGGAGCGCTGGATTTTGTGATGTGCAGCGCCCTACTACGCCACGAAACTACACCAGGCTACATCTCTGATAGACCTTTCTGGAGTCTGGGGGGCTATGAGAGGAGACCATACAGGAGACCAGAGGCCACAAGCCACGACGAGAGACCACGAGCCACGACTAGAGACCACGAGCCACCCACTGTGAATCGAGCTGAGCACCCACCAGCCTTAGAAACCAGAAGTATGACCAGGACAGCTGCCGAGGGGAAGAAGCACACTTGCAATCAATCTTGGGCCTCCGGAAGCCTCCGGAGGCCTATGCACACCGTAAGAGACCCCCAGGGGCTTCTGGGGACCCCCGGTGACCTTCAGGGCCCGACCGCCCCGTGCCCGTGATCGACGGGTCCGCTGGATCGTCGGACTGAGCCGACTGACGGAGACACAGATTGTATCTCTGGCGGACAGGGTTGTGATTCACGGCGCGTGGACGCAGAAGGGGGGCTGACAGGACAACGGAGGCAGGGAACCGATGGGTGCGACCCCGCGCGTGGGCAGCTGGACGAGAACCCAGAGGGCAGGGCAAGCTGGCCGTGACTCAACTAGCGGGGCACAACGGGCCACCAGGCTGAAGCCGACAGGCCAGGGCAAGTAGTTGAGGCCGAGGAATTGTGGACAGACCCCTTTATAAGCGACTGACCAAACATGGTAGAAAGCAAAGAGGGCCTAGCCCGATAAGGTGTGGGCAACCAAGACAAGCCAACTGGCAGGGGCATGTGAGGCCAGGACCACATGGGCGGGAAACAGGTTCTTATGGTGGACGAGGGACAAGCCTGCCCTCAGGAGCAACCCTTTACGGCACGCAAGAGCTGCCTAGAGGGTGGACCCAAGGAGTCTCGGCCGTACCTCCTGGCAAAGCCTTGACTGGACACTGGGCGCGCCTTGCCCGCAGAGCAAAATTCATGCGCAAGAGGTAAGGACACAGGGCCGGCTCAGTGGAAGCTGAAGAAGAGCGAGGGTCAAAATCGGGGACAGAATTCTGAAGGGAACCCACCCGTCGCGACGAGAGGCCCCCTAGTCGCCCCCGACACGCCCACCAGCCTACCTGGATCGCCGATCGTCGCACCTCGAACATCGATGATCAGCGTAATTAGCCCTAGGGCATGGACAGGAGGCCCACAATGCCCAGTCCCCAGCGCGCCCCCCTGTTCCGGCAGCTCTTGTCCGCACTGTTGTGGATCGAGCGCAGCAAGCTCTTCTCAAACATCTGGCGCTCCTCATAAAAGTGGGGACGTCGTCGCCATCGCCGTCAACGAGAGGAGGAGGAGGCGGAGGAGGAGGAGTAGGAGGAGGAGTTGGCCACACGCAAGAGTGAACCTACTATAGTGCAACTATGGAAGAGTACCCCTGGCCAACCTTCTGGACAACCCTCTGACCAACGTTCTGGCCAGTCCTGGTCAGCCTTTCTGGCCAATCCTGATTAGGGCAATCGTCTGCAGAAGACGGATGAAAGAGTGACGTTCCTTTGATGCCGGGCTTGCCAAACCGATGCGTGCGATACGAGAGTAGCGGCCTGCGCGCTTGGGTTTGCCCACCACCTCCCATCCCCTGACCTCCGATGTCTTGATTTCTCTACCATCTGAAAAGCCCCGAAGCCTGGACTCACTCCCCAGGACCGGCTTGTCATCCCGAGTCGTCTTTTGACGGTCACCCGGCATGATGAGGTCCCCAGAGGCCGAAAATACCCGAAAGCATTTCGTCGTGAATTTTGTGCCACGCGATGAGGTCTGGGCCACGCGCCCCTGCAAGGACCGCGCACCAAAGGCTACTCTGGCGAAGGGTCACCTTGCGTTTGGCTGGCAGGAGGGAGGCGGGGGTTCCTCGTCGAAGCGCGACTGGGCCCACATGCTCGTGAAGGGGTCCAACCCTCTGCCTTAGGAGGAACGCAAAAGCAGGCAAGATCGGTCAAAAGGAGTGAACATGAGGACGCAGGGCGCACCAAGTCAGGGGCAGCACCTTGGAACGAAGAAGCAGAACACATGACCAACAGGCTGAGATTTAAGGGATGCGTGCGTCCCTCACCTTGAAAGCTCCTTGTTGAGGCTGGCCTGGAATGTACCCAGCATCAGGGCGCCTCGACAAACCCGGGTGGAGCTGGGTTCGTGGGTGGTACGGGTTTCTGGCCGGGCCAGGAGCTGGTGCCTGCATAGGTCTGGGCGCGCACTGGGCACGTGGAGCTGACGCAATCATACTCGGACCGACTCGCAAACACAGACCCACCATCCCCAACACTCCGTCACGCTCACATTCGTTCATGCACAGACTCACTCAGACCCAGACTCGCTCACACAATCCTCCTCCCTCCTCCTTCTTCGCTATCCCTCAACCCTCCTCTTTCCTCCCTCCTCCGTCCTCCTCGTCTTTCTTTCTGTTGGTTTTTCTGTGTTGTTGCATCTCTCTCCCGCTCGGCCTGAGGGTTCGTCGAAGGCGGCCATCCCCCCCCTGGGTCGGTCGACCCGAAAGGTGGGGATCAAACTAACATCTGCAAAAAGCACAGTCTCTGCGGGCCATCCTGAGTGGACGCCGGCACGCGCATGCATCCCTGGGTGGTGCCGACTCTCTTCGGTCAGGGGCGCGGGGAGGGGGTGGAGGAGGGGCCCTCGGGGAACGGCCGCGGAGGCGGCGGAGCCGCCCGAAGAGAGGGAGAAGGAGGATGACACGAGGGAGAGGGGAGAGGCAAGGCGTGGCTGTCAGCGGTGACGTTTTCGCCGGTCAAGCGCTCGGTCGCTGACACGGGCAGGCGGGGGCGGTGGCAACAGCAGCGGGGGCGAGCGAGAGGGGCGACCCTCGGAGGACGGCCGAGGAGACGGCGGAGCTCGAGGGGAAAGAAGCGAGGATGTAAAGCGAAGGGGGGACAATGTCGTGGCGGCGCGGGGCTGGGGCTCGCCGCGGGAAGCACAATCATTCTGCCCCGCCCCCTCCCCAACCCACTGGTGGGTGAGAAAAAAAAATCGACGCTTTGGCAGTGCTGGCCTGTAAGGCCCTCCCCATCCTCAAATGATTCTCCCCGCCGCCTTCGCCCTTCGCTGGACATGCGTGGTTATGCAGGAAAGGCTAGCTCTCTTCTCGGTTTCAGCACCGACCCTCTGTTCCCAGGGTGGCGCGTGGCTTTGAAGTGCGGGCCTGCGATTTGAGGGCGCTCGCGGCTGCGCTGCCTCTCGTCTGGTCTCTGCTGCTGGGCTGAAACCACTCCGCGGCGCGGGTGGCTCTGGGAGGAGCCGGCACGTGACCTTCAGATGCGGGCCTGCGACCGCGGGCGGCCGAGGCTGCGCTGCCTCCTCTGGTCTCTGCTGGGCAGGCCACGCGCAATGAGGCGGTGGAGGAGGGACGAGAGGCAGGGAAGGGGCAACCTGAGGGATTGTGGGGCGAGAGGGCTGCGAGCGGGCCAAGAGGCGGTGAACGGTGACACGGTGGCACCATCGGTGGCGGCTGCGTAGCTGGCTGGCGGTCGCGAGTGCGTCTCGGCTAAGTCTACCTCTCATGCCCCGCGCAAATTCCAAACCCAATGTCTTTCCCGCGTCAGAGGGGGGAAGGGGAAGCAGTGGACAGGCTTCGTGAGCAGAAGAACCTTTCTAAGGATAAGCACCCCGACAAGCGAGGCCGCTTAATAAACGCGTCGGACAGGACAGGGCTTTTTAGTAAATGCCCAGGGCCGTTTAGTAAGCGCCGATTGCGGGGCCAAGTTTTTGTTCGCCCCTCGGTGGGTCGGGAAAGCGGGCGGGCAGGCACGGATGGGCGGGGGGCGCCTCGAAGGTCAGATCCCAAGCCTCCGACCATTGGTAAGAAAAGGGGCGGCTCACCACCTGCAGGCCGTTCCTCGAGGTCTTCGTCGAAGATGTGCCGCGGTCTGCGGATGGATGCTGGGAGCGCTGGAGACTCCTAAGACGTGGTGCCTGCGGGCCATCGAAGGGTGCTCGTGAGCAGCCATGCGGTTGCCTGCGGGCATGGCATCCCATGTCGAGATCGTCTCAGTGGCGGGGCGGCCATTCTGGGAGCGAGCTCGTCTGAAACGGCGGTAGGCAGCGAGCTAGCTTCTGGCGACGGCACTGCAGGGCTGCCGGACGCCAGCCCCGAGCGCTCCGCGCACTTCCAAAGTTCAGCGAACCCGCACTTCGCACCGGATGCCGTCAAGGTCGTCGACCTGGGCCACCGGCGCCTCGGCCACGCGAGGGGCCTCGGGCGGGTGGCGCCTGGCGTCGGGCGAGGTCCCGGCGGTCGGCGCGGCCGCCTCCGCCGCCTCGCCGCGCGGGGGCGCCTCCCGCCAGGCCTCGGCGTCCGCTGGCGGCGCGGCCAGGCGGGCCGCCCCGCCGAGGGCGACGGCCATCGCGGCAAGTAGCTCCTCCTCCGCCCGCGGCCCCGTCTGGTTCCTCCACGCCCTCGGCGTCCTCGCCATCCTTCTCGCCCTCCTAGAACTCTTCCTCGCAGCCGAGGTCGAAGCTTCCCCGGCGGACCTAGCGCGGGGCACCCGCAGGGCGCTGATCAGCTCAAGCATTCGCGGCGGATCCAGCCATGGCGGGGTCCTCGGCGACATCGCCCGAGCTAGGTGGAGGCGCCGCCGAAGGGGCCCCTGGGCCGCAGCCCGGATCTCCTCCGGGATGGGGCGCCCAAGGGGGCAAACAGCACTCGGCGCCGTAGTCGAACGACGGGGTGAAGAGCGGCAGCAGAAAGGCCCCGTGGTCGCCGCAGTTGGGCCCGTGGCCAGTGGCCCAGCGTCCAGATGGCCTGGCCGTGGCGGGGGCCCTCTATAACGATGTATTTGTTCTCGCCGTTGGAGTGGCCCTGGTGGTAACTCCCCAGCGGTCGGCGGCAAGCAGTCGCCGCCGCCTCGCGGCAAGACACGAAACCGATCGCGGAGGCCATCGCCGTCGCGATGCCAGGTGCCACCAGGTTCACTTCGATCCACCGCAATTTGGCCCAGTAGGCCCCGAACGAATACCGCCCAACGGCGTCGACCAGGCCCAACAGGAAACAGCATTTGGCGCAGCAGAGCTCCGCTCCCAAGGCATGCCCACCTCGTTCGGCGAACCATTTGAAAGCCGCCTCGATCCACGCATTGACCCAGGCCATGCCTTGCTCTTCTCTCGGCTACATATCGTGGCCAACCTTGGCCTTCTGAGGCCCCTGAGGCTCTCCTGGTGCGCTCGTGCCTCCTCCTGGCGGATCCTCAGGCGACTTGGGGAGTGCGACTCGGCCTCCTGCCTCGGCCTCCTCCGCGCTCGCATTCTCCTGCCTCTGGTGTTCCTCGCCGGGGCTGTCGCACTTTTTCCACTTCGGCTCTGGCGAGGGCCCAGGCGGCGACTCCGTCGAGCTCAGCCGAGCTGGACGCTGGGCATTGCCCCCTGGCGGCGACGAACCGCTGCCCTGCAGGTGGTCCGGGTCGTAGTACCCGACGCACACGTCGTTCATTTCTAATCGCGTTCATTTCTAGTTGCGCCCGTGTCTAATTGTTCCTGGCCCCCGTGGCCAGAAAGAGGCCCAGGATAGAACAATTAGAAATGAAAGGGTCTTGGCCACCGAACAAATCAAAGAACTTACGATGATCCCCCCAATGCCACCTGCCGAAGCCCGTCGGCGTCCACGCGCTGGTCGCACGATGGGAAGGCAACTTATCAATGCCAGACCAGGGCACGCGCGTCGCCGCAACTGTGTGTGGAGGCGAAGGTTGGGAAAGGGAGGGCTTGAGTGCCCTGGATCAACGAAGGCAACGGAAACATATTAAGGTTAGGCGGGGGGGGGGCGGGGGGGCGAACTTACATCTGAAGCGTTGTTTTCTTCCTGGCCCGTGCCAGTTGGGCCCGCGCCTGGGCGGGTCCAGTCCTCTGTTCGCGGACGGGGCCAGTGCCCTCGCCGCCGTGCTGGCCTCGCAGGCCCGTGCCTGGGTGGCCATGAAGTTCGCGGTCGGGGCCCGTGCCCTCGCCGCCGAGCTAGCCCCGCAGGCCCGTGCCTGGGTGGCCTCTGGGTGCGCGGCGGTCGGGGTCCGTGCCCTCGCCGCCTCTGCTAGCGGTCGGGGCCCCTGCCCTCGCCGCCGAACTGGCCCCGCAGGCCCGCGCCTGGGTGACCTCTGGGTGCGCGGTCGGGGCCCGTGCCCTCGCCGCCACTGCCTCGCGGCCGGGGCCCGTGCCCTCGCCGTCAGGCCGGCCCCGCAGGCCCGTGCCTGGGTGGCCTTGAAGCTCGCGGTCGGGGCCCGTGCCCTCGCCGCCGAGCTGGCCCCGCAGGCCCGTGCCTGGGTGGCCCTTGGGTTCGCGGTCGGGGCTCTTGCCCTCGCCGCCGGTCTCGCGCCCCCAGGCCCGTGCCTGGTCAGGTGCGCCGGTGGGCGGCCATGGGCCCGCGCCCTCACCGCAGAGCATTCGCCCGCAGTCGTCTTCGGGCTCATGGGCCGCGCCTGCGCCGAAGGGCCCGTGCCCTGGCAATTTTTCAAGGCCCGCGCCCCCCTGGCTCTCGGGAAGGGCCCGCACCCCGTCTGCCCTGTGGCGTGCCCGGCCCGTGCCCTGGTTTACTCGCACACGTGGCCTGTGCCAAACACAACGCGCGCGCACGCATGTAACACTGTCCTTGCTTGCGCACGCGCGCGAACACATGCACAACATGCGGTTATCGTATGCGTTTTCACCATGCGTGCAACGCGCTGCGCGCGTGGCACGCGGAAAGAATTGGATATGGGCAGCGTGTGCCGGAATTCGACCGATGCCAGGCGCTCTGCCCCCCCGGCGTCTCGCGAAGCCCTCTTGCCCCCCCGGGAGCCCGACCGGATCGGTCATGGCTGGCGGCGGATCCGCGGCCGAAGGCCCAACCAGGAGAGGCATCGCTGCGTCGCTGGGCTGCGCAGCTCCCGAGGGCGGCGTGGGTGGTGTTAGCGGCTGATGTGTCTCCCCTCACGCAAAGTTCGGACCCGCTTGCGACTCATCATTCTGTGGGGCGTCTGCCGCACCATCCTCTCTCTCTCTCTCTTTCTCTCTCTCGTGGCCCGAGCCGTTTGTGGACGACGCGGGCGCCGTGAAACTGTAGTAGCACCAGCCAGCGCCGAGCGACGCGTCGAACAAACCCAACGCTACCACAACAGCCGTCTCAAATGTACACTCCAAGGAGCACGCGTGACGCATCCCCCCTGGGCCGCTCTGCGCCGCGCTCCCTCAGCGCCGCCCGGAACGAGCGAGCTATATGGCCCTGCCCACCCACCCGGAAACTAGTATGACCTGTGCGAAGCCTTGAGCCAAAGAGCAAAGGAGAAAACGAGAGAGAGAGAGAGAGATATATATATATATAGAGAGAGAGAGAGAGAGAGAGCCAGAGAGCAAAACAAAGGAAACGAGACAGTCGGAGAGAGACAGCGCAAGTGGACGAAACCCTGAGTTATCACTAATGTCCAAATCCCCCCGCCCGGTCTGACGGGGCTGGGCGGGGAAGATTCCCAACGACAGGCAGCGGCTGTCCTCCTCCTCCTTCTCCTCCTCCTAATCCTCCTCCTCCTCCTCCTCCTCCTCCTCCTCCTCCTCCTCCTCCTCCTCTTGGTCCTGGTCCTGGTTCCGGTCCCGACCCTGGTCCTGGACATTCTCCTCCTCCTCCTCCTCCTTTTCCGTCTCCTTCCTCCTCCTCCTCCTCCTCCTCCTCCTCTTTCTCTATCACGCTTCGGCTGTGGTCGTCGTCCTTCTACGCCTCCTTGTCCGCCTCCTGCCCAAACTCACCCACAGCCATGCAATCATGATGACATCAACTCGTATTCAAACCCACTCATGTGTTTAGCTGCCCCGATACGCAATACGAAATCCGGAGCGTATCGGTACGGGGCTCAACACGTATATCCAATACGTAGATATGGCTGCATACATTCGCCGCACGTACAACATCCACGCTCGATACGCAATACGTGGCCTGCGATACGCAGCCCAAAAAGCTCAATACGTAGCCCAATACGGAGCCCAATACGTAGCCCCCCGTTGTTATCGCCGCCGCCGCCGCCGCCGTCGCCGTCGCCGACCCCGCGGGGCCGTTATGACCCCCCCGGGGGCCACATGGCATCCCCCCGGGGACCGTAAAAAAACGGGGGCCGCTGTAACATCTCCCCGGCGCCTCTATAACGCCTCCCCGCGGCCGCTAATAGAACCCCCCCCCCTGGGCCGCACATGCCTCCCGGGGCATCTAAAAAACCTCCCGGGGCTGCTACAACACCTCCCCTGGGGCCCGTGCATCACCTCATGGGTTTGGCCCCAGTGCTGCTATAACACCTCCCAGTCTCGCCCTCAGATGACTCCAACAGGCTCACCGGCCTTGGGCCCACCCCAAGAGGTTCGTATAACAGCTCCCAGGGGCCCCATATAACACGTCAGGGTGCTGCATAACACCTCCCCTGGGCCCCAGGTCCACCCTAGAGTAAGCGTAAAAACACTTCTCCTCCCACTCCCTCCTCCTCCTCCTCCTCCTCCTCCTCCTCCTCCTCCTCCTCCTCCTCCTCTTTCTCCCCCTCCTCCTCCTCCTCCTCCTCCTCCTCCTCTTCTCCCCCTCCTCCCCCCCATCTTCTCCGCCTCCTCCTCCTCCTCCTCCTCCTCCTCCTCCTCCTCCCCTCCTCCTCCTCCTCCTCCCCCCTCCTCGGCCTCCCTGTCTCCCTTGTTGCCTCCCCCCCCCCCTGGCGCCCCCCCCACCCCGTGCACCCCCTCCCCCGCCCTCCTCCATCTCGTCCATCCTCGCCGCCCGCCCTCGCCCCAATACGCGGCCGATGCGTGGCCAGAAAGAGAGGGTCTGGGAGGGGCGGCGGGGTGGAGGAAGGGAGGAGGAGGAGGAGGAGGAGGAGGAGGAGGAGGAGGACGAGGAGGACGAGGAGGAGGAGGAAGAGAAGCAGCAGGATGAGGAGGGGGAGCATGTCATGCCGCATTCACCTCGAATGCCATCTGCCGCCCCCAGATCAATGAAGCCCCCCACGCGTGGGCGCGTGGACACCACGCCCTTGTCTGGTAGGACTCGTTTTTGTCTGGTGCTGTCTGGTAGGGATCGCTACTGTCTGGTAGGGTTTGCTACAGCCGCTACTGTCTGGTGACACTACTGTCTGGTAGGGTTCGCTACTGTCTGGTAGGGTTCGTTACTGTCTAGTAGGATCCGCTACTGTCTGGTAGGGTTCGCTAAGGCCGCCCCGCTGCGAACGGCGAGCGGAGTGCGGGAGACGGAACGCCGAATCTACCCAGGCCCAAAACCCTAGATCGCATCCCAAGGCGGCCCCATATGACTCCAACAGGCTCACCGCTCCCCCACCACGCGAAGACCCCCCCCTCCCCCCAGAGGGGAGGTGGGAGGAGGTCAGTTGGGAAGAGGGCGTGCTCCAAGACGGCTCGAATTGAACTATCGCAGGCCTTGGGCGCATCCCAAGACGGCCCCAGATGACTCCAACAGAATCACCGCTCCACCACCACGCGAAGGCCTCCCCCCCCTCCCCCCAGATGGGAGGTGGGGGGAGGTCAGTTGGGAAGAGGGAGTGCTCCAAGACGGCCCGAATTGACCTATCGTAGGCCTTGTGCGCATCCCAAGACGGCCCCAAATGACTCCAACAGGCTCACCGGATTGGGCCCATCCCAAGAGGTTCGCATAACAGCTCCCAGGGGCCTGTCTATCACCTCCCCCGGGTCCCAGGTCCACCTCAGAGGAGGCGTAACAAACACCGAATCTCCAATGTTCTCCACTGGCCCCATTGCCTCCACCGAGTCTCCTTGTTCTCCACTGGGGCCCCTGGGGCGCTCCACAGACGACTAACGACGACGCCGCCCGCGCGGAAGGGCAGGAGTTGGAGGAGGAGGAGGATGAAGAAGAGCAGCTGCAAGAGAACAGGATGGGAGGAGGAGGATCCCAATACGACGCTCAATACGGAACTCAATACGGAGCCCCAACACGGCCTACGTAATGGACCAAAACGTAACGTATCAATCTGGTACGTATCAATCCGGCACGTTCCGCGTATCCAATACGGGCGTATCATGACAGCTAAGCTCATGTGTATTCAATCCTTCATCTTCAAGAGGAATTGCGCTCAGACAAACATGTTTCCGGATCAACGTACATGCATAATCAGCCATACCTAACCGCCCATACCGAGACCTCTCATACCGGTACGCATTCACACCCACATTCATCATACACAAAATGACACACTTTCATTAATTCCCGCTCATACGCTCCGACTGCCGTCATTCATCATCACAAAAACGATACACTCCCCACGTTTACGTAGTCGTACGCAATCATCGATGCCCATTCCCACTCGTATTCAGCCTCGCTCGTACTCAGTCTCTCATACGCGCGCGGCAGCGCGGCGCAGTAAAGATCGGGCGGGGAGGCTCGCGCGGGGTGGAACAGCACACGCCGCACTGATTAAGCCGGATCTGCCAATAGGTGATTTAACGGCCACACACACACGCATACAAACACACACACACACAAGGGCACAAGCACACACACAAACAAAAGCGCACACAGACTCACCCACAGTCAGGCACGGTCAGTTTGAAGACCCCTTTTTCCCCCTGCCATCATAACGGGCCACTCATACTCAGACCCATTCTTGTTCAGAGCCGCTGGAATCCCAAAGCACGCCCCCCGGTCAACTCACTCGCATACATACCCGATCAGAGTCAGATACACATGAGCGCACTTCCCATTCACACCTGGACCGATTCATACGTGCGCCGACACCGACTAACCCGTTCACGTTCATGTAGAAGCACACTCAGACTGGCAATCGCTCGCATCCAGCCGCTCATATTCAGGCCCCCTCGCACACATACTCACTCGTTCTGCCTAGACGCCCCAATAGAACACGGAACAATCAAACACGCATGGATATGTTTTCCGCGTCGGATAATCTGACGGCCCCAGGGCCTGGCAGTGAGGCCTCCCAGATGTTATAAACATGATCGCATCTGAATCGCGTTGCCACACGACGCAAGGAGGCCTGGGAAGGATCGATGATCCCATTAACGCGTGTAGTCGCCAACGTGTGCTTATCCACCGAAGCCCTTCGGTGCGAGGCGCGACGCAGGCAACGTGATGAGGGCCGACGCAGGCTGCGTGCTATCGACGGAGCTGAGCGGGGTAAACACACAATGTGCTAAAACTCGAAACAAGGCCAATTGAATTAACTGCTCTCCCGCCTGGCTCACACCCGCTACAATCGGCCCCCCAGACACCGCCTGGAGTCCATCCTGACCCGTGTATTCAGGCGGATCCAGCCGTGGCGACCAGAAACCTGGAGGAGGCCCAGAAAGGGCCAAAAACGCCATGGGCGGATCGTCTTCGCCTCAACTGGCCAGTCTCCAGAACACGCGTCGTGAGGATAACCGATAGGATAGAGGCCTCACACATGGGCTCCAAGTAGAGAGGGTCGGAAGCTCACGCCGCATCGCCGATGCATCGGCAACGTCGGCGATGCATCGGCAACGTCGACATGGAGCAGATCGGGCTCCACATCGAGCCGCATCGCCGATGCATCGGCGATGCCGCGCGATGCTTCAAACCCGTCCACTCGGACCCCACTTGGGAGGCTCAGTTGGAGAGGAGACCTCCCCCCCCCGAGGGCCGCCCGTGCTGGCGCTGGTCGCGTTGGTGCGGCGGGTGCCCAGGCCGCGCCCCACGGAGGCGCTGGCCCCGGACCTCGCAGCCGCCCGCGGGGCCGGCGACGCGGGCGGCGACGGCTGGGGCGCGGAGGCCTGGCGCCTCGGGGCGGGGGGTCTGGCTCCTCTCCCCCTCGCCAATCCGCGGGCCCAGCACCAGACCCGCCTTCGGCCTAGCGCCTGCCAGGGACAGGCGCACCCAGCTGGGGGGCGACAGCCCACCTGGGAACCGGCGACGGGGCACACCCCTTCCCCCACGCACTCACCCTTCATACCCCTCCCCCTGGAGCCATGAAGTAGGGGAGGGCTACTACCATCATATCATCGCGTTTGGGCGGGGGAGGAGGTGTCATCTCGCCCTGAGTCCCTCGCTGGCTGCAGGAATGGGTAATCGTTGCTTCACCATGGCTTGGCTGCCTGACCCGTTGGTAAGTATGAACCCTCCTCCTCCTCCTCCTCCTCCTCCTCCTCCTCCTCCTCCTCCTCTTCCTCATCATCCCACCCCTCCTCCTCCTCCTCCTCCTCCTCCTCCTCCTCCTCCTCCTCCTCCTCACCATCCCGATCACCATGAGAATCCCCCCCCCCTCCTCCCCCCTTCCTCCTCTCCACCTCCCCCTCATCCTCCCTCTCATTCCCCGCCTTCCCTTCCTCCTGCTCCTCGGCTCGCCTCGGCGACCAACGAACATGTACAAATTGACTGTTCCTGGAAACGGGGAGGCAAGTCCAAGTGAAAAATGAAACCACAGCATCGCATCAGCATCATCATCATCATCCTCATCCTCACCCTCACCCTCACCCTCACCAGCATCAGCATCAGCATCAGCATCAGCATCAGCATCAGCATCAGCATCAGCATCAGCATCAGCATCATCATCATCATCATCATCATCATCATCATCATCATCATCATCATCATCAGTATCATCATCATCATCATCGTCATCGTCATCATCATCATCATCAGCATCATCATCATCATCATCTGCATCAGCAACAGCAACATCATCATCATGATCAGCAGCAGCAACATCATCATAGTCATCAGCATCAGCAGCACCATCATCATCAGCACTCTCTTTCTCGCCACCAGCAACAGCATCAGCATCAGCATCATCATCATCAGCATCGGCGTCATAGTCATCATCACTAGCATCAACACCATAATCTCACCGCCATCATACTCGGCAGCATTATCATAACCATCAATCATACTCAACGTCGACATACTCAGTAGTAGTAGTAGTAGTAGTAGTAGTAGTAGCATTATGACCTTTCATGCCATCATCACCATCAGCAGCAGCACCATACTCATCATCAGTAGCATCATCATCATAATCATCATCATCCGCATCGTCAGAGTCATCATCATCATCAGCATAATCATCATTAGTATTATCATCATCATCATCACCGTTATCAGCATCATCATCTTCATCGTCATCAGTACCACCATCAACGTCAGCATTACCATCAACGTCACCACTACCACCATCACCATCATCATCAACAGCATCACCATCAACACCAGCAGCATTTACCACTAACGCCATCATCACCATCAATCATCAGCATCACCCCATCACAATCATTGTCATCATTGTCATCATTGTCGTCATTATCAGAGAGAGCGTGATCCACCGCCGCTTTACTGTGGAAAATTGCCAACCTTTTCCTGCGGAACCCGGGGGTCTCCCCCCCCCCCTCCGAAAATCCCCCCCCCCTGCTGGACCCCCCCCCCCCCCTCCTTCCTCCCCTCCCCCCCTCCCATAACCCCCCCCCCCCCCCCCCCCCCCCCCCCTCCCCCTCGAAAACCGGGGGGGTCACTACTGGTTCGAACCCCCCCCCCCCCCCTCCCCCCCCTCCGGATCCGGAAAACCGGCGGGGGTCACTACCGGTTGGAACCCCCCCCCCCCTCGAAAACCGAGAACGGGCTCTTTTGGGAGTCCCCTCGGGGGGACAATTTCACAACAAAAGAAATCTTGTATATACCGCCACGAAGGGAATCTCTTTGTACTCCCGTACAAAAGGAATTCCTTTGTATTCCGCTACAAAATAAATCCATTTGTATTCCGCAACAAAGGGAATCCTTTTGTATTCCGCCACAAAGGAAATCCTTTTGTATTTCGCCACGAAAGGAATTCCTTTGTATTCCGCTACAATGGGAATCCCTTTGTATCCCGCTACAGAAGGAATCCCTTTGTACTCCGCCACAAAGGGAATCCTTTTGCATTCCGCCACAAAGGGAATCTCCTTTTGTATTCCGCCACAAAGGAAATCCTTTTGTATTCCGCCACAAAAGGAATCCCTTTGTATTCCGCCATAAAGGGAATCCCTTTGTATTCCGCCACAAAGGAATTATTTTTTGTATTCCGCTACAAAAGCAATCCCTTTGTATTCCGCCACAAAGGGAATCCCTTTGTAGTCCGCCACAAAAGGAATCCTTTTGTATTCCGCCACAAAGGGAATCCCTTTGTATTCCGCCACAAAGGGAATCAGGTCGCATTCTTTCCACAAAAGAGAAGCAGTTTGTATCACGGTAATTAAAACAATTAGAAATGCTTCTAATTCAGCGGCCAGGGGACCAGAGGTTGGCTGGTATTTTAAATGTTTTTTTTTTTTTGTTTTTTTTTTTTTTGAATTTTTTAAATAGAAAAACAAGGTTTCGCTTGAGACTCCCGCCAAACTGTTTAAATCCAGCGGGCGTCGCTGGCGTGAAATTCCGAGGGAGTCTCAAGCGAAACTTGGTTTTTTAGAGGAAATTAATAGCAAAATCAATGACAAAAACAGGTTTCGCTTGAGACTCCCTCGGAATTTCACACCAGCGACGCCCACTGGATTTAAAAAGTTTGGAGGGAGTCTCAAGCGAAACCTTGTTTTTCTATTTAAAAAATTTAAAAGATTGTTGTTATATATATATATATATATATTTTTTAAAAAAAAGCCACCCTCTGGTGTCCTGGCCGCTCAATACAAGGCAATTCTAAAGGAATGAGAGGTCGGCAGGTTTTTTATGTTTTTTTTTTTTTACAAAAAAAACATAGAAAAACAAGGTTTCGCCGGTGGGAAACCATCGGCAGCCGAATCGGGGGCTTGGGGAAACCCTGGTCTCCGGGCCGGCGGTGGGAAACCATCGGCGGCCGAATCGGGCGCTGGGGGAACGCATGCGGAGTTCGCGATTGCTAACGCTTACCGCTGCCCACGAGGGCTTCTTGAGGTTGTGAAAAGGGGGAAATTATGTGATTCTTACATCAGCCAAACCCGATGGATATATAAAATTCTGAGGGGGTCTCAAGCGAAACCTGGTTTTAGTATTGAAAAAAATGAACAAAAAAATAAACACGTTGGGAACCTCTCGCAGGTTCAGGCCGCTAAAGATCCCTACAAAAGGAATCAATGTGTAACCCGCCACAAAAGGATTCCTTTTGTAATCCGCCACAAAACGAATCCTTCTGTAATCCGCCACAAAAGAAATCAATGTGTAATCCGCCACAAAAGGATTCCCTTTGTAATCCGCCACAAAAGGATTCCCTCTGCAATCCGCCACAAAAGGAATCAAATTGCAATCCGCCGCAAAAGGATTCCCTGTGTAATTCGCCACAAAAGGATTTCCTTCTGCAATCCGCCACAAAAGGAATCAAATTGTAATCCGCCACAAAAGGATTGCCTTTGTAATTCGCCACAAAAGGATTCCCCTTGTAATCCGCCACAAAAGGAATCAAATTGTAATCCGCCGCAAAAAGAATCAATGTGTAATCCTCCACAAAAGAAGACAATATGTAATCCGCCACAAGAGGAATCGATTTCTAAGGCCGCCGTAAAATGAATCCCTCTGTAAGGCTGCCACACATGTAATCAATATGCAAGGCCGCTACCGCCCCCCCCCTCCCCCCCTAATCGATTCGTATTGTTTTTCTATAGAAGGGGGCCGGGGCGAAGACGGGGGAGGAGGGGATCTGCCAGTGGCCAGCTGGACCTCTCCCCCCCACACCACCACCAAAACAACACGACCATCTTGCTTTGCCATTCTCATCATTCCTCCGTTTCCCCACGCCCAGAGGGAAGAAGGTAGGAGGGGCGGGAGGGAACGTGGGATCCTCCACACATTGAGTAATTTTGTGGAGGGCCTTTTCAACATGGATTCTTTTGTGTGGATAAGTTTCATGTCAGACTATGTTGCGGAGCATACTCCGCAAATTCATTCCCTTTTGCGAAGGGGTCTCCATGTACCATGTAGTGACTCCTTGTGGAAGATTTACATACTGATGGTTTTTGTTGACGATCCTCGTCGTCGCTCCCTCTATTCCCCCTCATCATCGTCATCAGGATCCCTCCTCCGACTCCCTTTCAGCGTCCTCCCCGTTCTCCTCTCCTTGGCTTCCCCCATCTATCTTCTCTCTTTCCTCCGCCCCCGTCTCTTCTCCGACTTTCCCCTGTCCTCTATCATCCATATTCCGCCCCGCTCCTTTCCTTCTCCTCCAGTCGGAATACAATATGAACGCATTGGGAATTACACTGATAATGCAATAAAAATTGCGCCCTCTCCCTCGCCCCACTTCGGATTGGAGCACAACGGGAATGCAATGGGAAAGCAATCGGAATACCGAAAGAATTCCCCCCCCGCCCCTGCTCCTTTCCTCGTCCTCCTCCTACAGCTGGGATCCCACAAGGAGGCAACAATCATGCAATGTTGATTCACTTCCCCCCTCCCATCCCCCTCCCCCAATAGAAATACAATAGGAATACAGCACGAAAGCTAATACTACAATCGGGAATTCTCCCCTCCTTCCGTCATCTTCTATGGAAGGTATCTTCCTGGGCCCATCCGTCCCTCCCCTCTCCTCCCCCCATGAATTGCCTCCCTCCTTCCCTCCGTGCTCTTCCGAAAAGGAATACCACATACAACAGGAACCCATTAGGAATGCAATGAGGATTTCCTCTCTATTCCCCCTCCCTTCCTCCAATAGCAGTACACTGCGAAGGCAATAGTAATGCAACGGCAATCCCCCCCCCTTATCTCTCCATCCCTCGGCCTCCCTCCTCCTCCGCCTCCTCCAGTGGGAATGCAATAGGGGACACACTATGAATGCGTATTTGTCAGTTTCC